CAGAATTGTATATTTTGACATTTTATTGTCTCCGTAACGTAACATACTTAACGTAACGTCACACATTCACAATTACATTTTGTGTACGCCTTTTTCGTCCTTTATGATTTAAATAGTGCCGATTTGCTTTTGCTTTCATTGGATCGTTAACATCATAAAAGGGAGTTTTGCCAGTGAGAACATTATTTAGGTACATCTTTGCACCAGTTATTAATAAAAAACATTGTGCTTTTATTTATCAAGAAATTTCTCAAATTATCAGCGTGATCTACACAACTGATAAATGATATATGTAGAGGTACATTTATATTTATAAGTTTAATGTAAACACTAATATTTTTTTTTGTGCAGTGCTCCTTTAAAATTTCGATGCATATATTTTCCACTTGGGCAAAGAAATCAAATAATGCTCTTGTAGGATAGCACAACCACTTTTTGTTTTTATATATTCCTGGAAACTTAATGATTCTTCTGCTTCCATGGAATTCTTGTAGGTCACACAATTTTTATAAACTTTTTTTTTGGCAAGTTGTGCTATCCATCCACTGCAATACCCTATAGCTGCAGTTCTTTCAAGAAGTATTGGAATTTGGCTCTGTATTAGCTGGTCAGTATCTATCGACATATCTAAGTGATCAATGTCTATTTCATTTTCACATTCAGTTGGGTGTGTATTTATAGGATTTTTTTTTAAAAATTCACAATTTGACCCAACTGAATGTGAAGATGAAATATTATTTATTAATAGTGTCTTGAAGGCGCCTTCAAATGCATATGTCGTAGGCATTATGTTGCTACAGCCATGAGCTCTAATTGCTCCAAAAAAAGTTTTCCAATGCGTCTTGATTGAAATTGCGCAGCAATAGAATTAATTCCTTTGGAATTTAAATATGAGACAATTAATTTAAAACCTTCTATGGTTTTTTGTTTACGCCGAAAAATATTTTACGAGTAGTGGAGAGTATTCGCTTTGCCCCGGGCATTCACGCCCGGTATGCCCGGCTATCCCCTATATTTTGTCGCGGAGAACCTAACGGGTAACCGGGGCTCCGGCTCGACGTGCAGGAGAAGGAACGGGGTGGTTTTTAGTCAGTAAGAGTCTGACACTCCCTCCCGCCTCACCCAGGCGGGGGCAGTCATCCGATGATTTTCCCCCCTTAAAAAAAAAAAAAAAAAATCCCCTATATTTTGTTTTAAAGTGTCACATATAACGGACATGGTCTCATTATATGTCCAGTTGTGGTACATAAAACTACGTCACATAAAAAGGACATACCGTATTATATGTGAAGAAAAAAATAAACAGTTCATAGTGTAATTAACAATTAACATCAAATAATAATTAGGAACATTCTAGAATCAGTCTTTTAGATATCAGTCGTTGTTTAGTATCAGTACAAATTTGTTTAGCTTAGAAAATTATAATGCTCTCGAAATTATTTAATAAATAAAATTAAAAAAAAAATACAAACAAAACAACCACTCTCTCGTAAAATAACAGGACATAAAAATACAATAATTACATTTCCTTGCGAAATCTTAGGTAACAAGATTTTTTGGCAGTTACACAAAGTCTTTGCTGACATTTTGAACACGTAATTTGGCTTTACCATTTTTACAGACACGACACTGGCCCTGTGACGTATAAATTGGAAAATGATTATAACAGTCTAACCGTGAATCATCTACTGGTCTCGGCTTTTTTAAGGGGGAAAATCATCGAATGACTGCTCACACGTTCGCCGCTCTCGCTCCCACTTGTTGATGAGCCATTGTTGTGACCTTTCTATCGCCGTGGAAGTGCCGGAACTACGCCATCTTGATGAGCTGGAATCTTCCTTACGCCTACCTCCTTGTTATTTTTATGCGGGCACTTCGGTGAAATATGGCAATATTCGTTGCAGTTAAAGCACTTTGGACCTTGTGCCTTCTGCGGACAGTCTTCCAACCCATGATCACCTTCATCACAGTTATAGCACCTTTTCGACGTTTTTTCGTGACGTTTTTCGTTTCTGTAGGTACTTCTAGGCAGGGGTTGAATACCAGTACCAATTTCGGTTCTGGTTCTTCATTTAGGCTCATAAAAAGGTTCCTCTTTTCGGTACGGTTCCAGTTCCGGTATGGGTTCCGGTTTGGGTTCTGATGTACCGGTTCCTAGAACCTTTAAATCTGATAACATTATACCGTGATCATATCCGTATTGTGCACATCTGCGTATAAATATCAGAAGCTAGCTCTCGTCGTATGTTATTTATTGGCCAGGAGCCGTGCACTGTGACGTCATACTCAAGAATGTGTTAATAATATAAGTATGTTAAACAACAATAAATAAACGCGCCCTTCTGCGACGACCTTGTAGACCAACCATAACAGCAGCACATGTGTTCCTCGCAAGAATATTATACAGAAATGTTGATTGTTTTTGTTTTATGGGATAAACCAGTAAACGAGTAGATGGATCACCTGAAGGTAAACAATCGGCGCCGCCCCTGCCAACGTCTCTGCCATACCTACTGGTGCTACGGTAACTATGCATTTAGAATAACTAATCATTCAAATTTTCAAATCGTCTTCTCCTACTTTATTTTCTCTTATTTAAAGTCGTCGCAATCGCCCCTTTCCGCCAAACTCTTTATGTTTAAACCATACACTACATTGACTTGTCTAGTCTGTTATGTTTGACAATCTTTACTTGTTACAGTTACTAATTGTACCATAAAACAGTCTTCCACAGTCAATCCTCGTTCGTTGGGATGCGCCCCCGTCCCGTACCCACCGCGGGGCTCTAACAGGTTACAAAGTACGTTACGAATTTAAGAAGAAGAATTAAGAATTCTCCATGAGCGATTCTTCTATTGATCGCGCTTTATCGATTAAGGATTCGATACTGTTAACTGCGTCCCGTGTCAAACGTTTCAGAATACGCTTATGTAGTAAGCCGTATATAATGTCCAACTTCGCTTCCTCGGGCAACACGTACGGTAATTTCGATATCATACCGCGTATTTTGATAATGAAAGTATCCGCGAGCTCTCCGTGTTGCTCATCAGCAAATATGCTACGGTAATCTTGTAACCAGGACGTGGAACACCATACATATATCGAAGTCTTTTGACGGCTTAGGGTTACGAGGACACCTCGGTCCGAACCCCTCCACCATACTGCAGCCTCGCCGTTGAGCAGCATGGGTAGACCACGTAGTGCAAGGTCGTCGCTGACCGACGAACACTCCTTAAATATCTCCACAGAGTCGATGAACGCTTCTACGACTTCAGGATCTCGGCTCTGACCATCGAAGCGTGACGTAGGTACGCTTAGACATGTTTCCAGACTTACTTGTTGCTACCGACGGCGTCGGTGAGGCTGACGCGATCGCAGCGCCGGAGCCCGCGAGGGGCGCTGATGGCTCACCTCTCACATACGATGCCATGAAGGATTCGCCGAGTTGCCGATTCGCTTCCGCCTGAGTCTTCGCGAAGGCGGCAAGGAATGAGGTCAACTGGTCCCCAGACATGAGTACTGACGAAGGTCTCGCAGCTTCATCTTCAGAGCTCGATTGTGCGTCACTCACATTGGCGTCCGTTGCCGTACGTGGTTTGCGTGGCGGCATCTTCTTTACCGTATTGCTACGCAGCAGGACCACGAAAACACGAATTTACGGGGGCGCGGTCGGTTACAAACCGGTTTAGACTGGTTCGGGCCGCAAGTTGGAAGCGCCACTTATAATGGTCTATAGTCATTTATTCCTGACACATTACACACAATTACATCGAACCAGTACAGAACATGAGGTAAGTATACAAATATTACTAATGAGACACCGTAGGGTCGCGGAGACGCGATCGGCACCCGCGAATTAGGCGCGCGTCTACCCTTATTGATGGCCTTGGCTAACTGGCGAGCGGCGCGAACGCCGCACGCCGTAACAGCGTGGCGGGGTGGAGGCGTTCCCGCCCCTCCCGCATGCTTCCTACCCGTGCTGGCCTTACGCGTATTTTCTAAATACAGGAGCGCGTTACATACTCTTATTATCTAGGTTTTTAATAAAATTGGTACATAATGCCAAAATCACAACAGCAATTTGCAAAACAAAACGTAATTTTGAATTTGGTGCCAAATCGATATCTATTGGCTATGATTTTTTTACAGATCCCCGATTCTGTTGCGCATCAGTAACGAAGCTTATTTTAAAATTCCAGTCTGAAAATAAAATGAATACTGTGAAAAAAAAACTCAAAATTAGAATAGTTAAATTATTTTTCCCTTATACTTACCAATAAAAAAAGAAAGGGATTCAAATATTAGAAGACCTGACAAACAATTTTTTATATGAGTTTACTTAGATACTACATATGGATATTTATTCTATCCAACCAGTATTAACAACCAATAAACTAACTATTCTAAGATTATTAGTTGTTGCGCAACAAAATCGGGTATTTGTGTATAAGATCATAGTCATATAGGTTAATAGAGGTAGACTTCAAACATAGAGGTAATAAAAACATATATAAAATATAAAAGATATATAAAACTTTAAAAATATTATCAAACTGTTTCATTATCTGAATTATTTCTTAAGAATAAGATATCATCAATTAAGTCACTTTTTAATTTTGTTCGAAGTTTATTGAACACAAAATTCAACGAGGAAAATAACCTCTCTACACTGACTTGTGTACTAGGTGCAGCCAGTACTATCTTTGATAAAATGTACAAGTCAGGCAATATATTTTTTTTGCTTTCACAAAATAATAAAATATTTTTGCTCGGAGGAAGGCGCACTTGTTTGTTCAAAAACTCTTTCAAGTGGTTTTTGATATCTGAATCGGCTCCAGCGCAGCCGTAGCTTGGATCTCCTCGCAGGGTATTATTATATGACTGATTCAAGAAATCTTTGAGCTGAGAACCTTCATTTTGCTGTTGCGTTGAAGTAGAGGCGACAGGAGAGCTAATCACTGGATCATCACGGTCTTGTTTATTTAATTTGCGCCATCTCATCATGCACTAACCAAAACATTTTCTGCAATCTCCAGTTGATCAGTGGTCAACAAGAAGTTAACGCGTGGATCTAAATATACAGCTGCGACAAACCCTTTAGATTCGAACAGGACTTTTCCTCTAATTTCCATGTTGAGATGTAATTCACACGCGAGGTTGGTGTTTATTGCGTTCAGCTCTATTTTAGAATTTATCCAATTAACCCATTAGAGGTCAAATGAAAACCACAAATATTTTTTCCAATTTATTTTTATATTTATATTAAAAAAGACATAAGAAATACAACATGAAAGATAATTATTAAAAAAAATTAGATTATGTTATTTTGGGGGGTGTACCCAATTGAGTACACTGACCGCCTACGTATGAAAGTTTTCAAAACAATTTTTCTCAACGCAAAGTGTCTTTACGCACTTTTTACATTGCCAACGTACTCTCGAGTGACAAATTACGCATCGTAGCGGTTTATCAATTTTCATGGGATAATGTCCAACCCCATCTTGAGGCAGGCCTTCGACTATTGATGCAGCTTGACGCGATTTCCGTTGTCCTTGGCGTAAATAATATCGTGCGATATGACGGCGGAACGTCAGTTGATCCATAGGGTTATCGTGACTCATAACGTGTAAACGCCAGGCATTAGCAACAGTCATATCCAACATGTAAGTAAACAATACCCACCACCACTTTTTGCCGTGAACCGCAACCCTGTATAGAGAGATAGATTGATCGAGCTCATCCACCCCTCCCATATTTTTATTGTAGGTTTGGACAAACGTGGTATTGCTACATCTGTCTTGTCTTTCTTTATTGGACACCATCTTTTCACAGTCCCAAAGGGTTCAATAGCGTCGTAGTTAGTTGCCATTGTACACACACTATTATCTTTCCATCTGACCAGTAAAATTTCGCCATTCTTATCAAATCTATAATCATAAGACGCACGTTCCTTCTTCTTCATTTCCTTGGTGCTAGTCAGTGGACATTTTTTAGTCCTGTTTTCTCTTACTGTCCCTGTAGCACGGTAACCTAGGCTTTTCAATTCCAGCAATAGATCATAGCTCGTAAAAAAATTATCAAAAAAGACTTCATGATTTGCTGGAGTACAATTCAGTTTCTCTAACAAACTTTTCACAACTCGAGAACCTAATGGGTCAGAAGTCTGTGACTGAGATTTTCCACAGTAAAAATCAAATGAATAGCAGTAACCTGTGAAACTTGCCGCGACCCAATTTTTATACCCGAAACGTACTGGTTTTCCACGAATAAATTGTTTCGCGGGATGGTGGCCAAAGTATTTCACCATTGATTTATCAACAGATATACTATCATGAAAAACTCCCCATTGTAAAAACTTTTCCATAAGTTTATCAGCCAACGGTCTTATTTTGAACATTTTATCGTTTGACGTACCAGCTAAATCGTTATTTACGAGATGTAAGTTCCTTTTTATATCTCGAAACTTATGTCTTGACATAGCTTTGCTGACCAATTCTACGCCAATGTCTTCGTCTAGAGACCAGTACATCGGTTCTCGAGGAAGTTTATGATAGCCAGAAAGAATCAAAATCCCTATAAACTTTTTCAAGTCACAAGGAACCAGTTCAAACTCATGTCTGTTGTGTTGGTTGGCGTATAGTGTGCTATTGGATGCAATCAAGTCAACTATATCATCATCAAATAACTTTTCAAATATTTGTACGGGGTTGAGGTTTTTCAGTTCTTCACAAACATTATTTTTCTTTTCGCTGACTTGAGACGTACGCTGAGGAGCTGAAGAGTATGAAGGTGCACATTTTCTCCAGGTTGGAGCCACGTTCGAAACAGATTCGCGGATAGAATTTGGTCGTTTTCTTTTTGACGCCAGAGGTTCGTCGTCACTGTCGTCGTACGAGCTATCTTCGTGTACACTATTGTCACGATGCGTAAATATCTCGAGGGTTCCAGGTACGTCTTGCGGCATGCATACGGTCGTCATATCCTCATCAGCTCCCTCCTCGTCATCAGTCAACGCACTTGGTTCAGGCGGTATGATAGCTAAGTCACAGTCATCATCATCACTATATTGTATGACAGATTCGATGGCTTCTTGAAGCCCCCTGAAGCTATTTTGGCCGGTAAATAGCTGTTTCTCCATTGTAAGAAATCTGAAATAAAAAAATATTATTTTACACATACATGTAGTCACTGTACCCAAACGAGTACAGCGATATTTATATGACTCTAGTTTACTTACAGTTACTATTATTTATTATAAGCACTCGTTAAAGGTTACTCTAATATATATTTTACACAAATTATTTAGAAATTACAACATTTATCCAATAATTATTAAAATAACTAAAAAAACATTCACTTACCTCCACAGTGTTCCGGTTGAAAAATTTCGAATGACGTTATTTATTAAAAAATGTCACACTACCGGCGAAACTTAAGTTAATTTATATGGTCAATCATATAACAATGCAAATTAATAAGATTACCCACGTAAACTATGCTTTACCTGCAAATAGTACTTAGGGATATAGCTGTACTCAATTGGGTACAGTGACTTCTAATGGGTTAAGGTAAAAATCACCCATAGTCAGTTGTTCCATTTGTAACTTTTTAGTTAAGATTTTGCTTGGTTTTAAAGAGGGGATAGTAACCTCAATAGAATTCCACGTTGTTTCGGACAAATAGAGCTCATAATTATCTGTACACACATATATTGGCCGAAGTTCTAGTAGCCGAGTGAGCATATCATAAGTCGAACTCCACCGCGTGGGGCAATCCACGACAGGCTTTTTAGCCCCCATTCTTTTTAGAAAGTGTTGGTACACTGTGTTGCGTAAATTTTTTATAACTTCACGCGCATTAATTGTGAGCATCGTTTGAATTGATGAAGATTCACTCCCTAAAGCGACTTGTACCGCTAACTGCAACGTATGTGCAGCACATCTAACAGCCGCATCCGTATAATGTTCGCTTTCTAAGTAATCATCGAGTATGAAATTTACTTACGTCACTCGTCATCTCCATTATTTCATTCTCGTCATCATCCGTATTATCCTCGTTTTCTTGGATGCTAGTTTTTAAGGCTCGTTCGACTAACCTAACCATTTTCAGCATATTTGCTCCATTATCAGTGTCAGAATTTTGTGATCAGTGTCAGAAGTTTATGGGACTGCATCCTGCCATTGCTATATCCAATATGTTTTTGAAAGGTTTGTCGTCAATTAGTTAGCGGTCATGTTATTAGTTCATTAGTCATGTCGTTACTAAATTTATACATTAATCAATCAGTTTAATTTCTAAATCTTGTTTGGATTTTTTCTTACTGTTTTCTTCGACGTGTTCTTCACGTTCTGCGCTATTCTCTTGAAGTATAAGCTTATATTGCACAGGATGCTTCTTCATGTGTTTTAATAAATTTGTTCCATGATTTTCCCTGTAAGAAGCATAAAACCACGTCCATAAATTTACTAAAACTCGCAAGTAACGGTAACATGCAGCATCACAACATGCAACATGCAACATGCAACTTAAAACTATTTTAAACATACAAGAAATACAAAGAAAAACGAATACGAGCGAGTAAAGCGCGCGTTGATATGCAACAGACGATTCACCAATCCAAATGTGATGTTTTACAAACTCCCCTATCCGCACATTCCGCTGCACCTCGCATCGCGCCGTCCACCCGCCCGCGCCTCAAACAAGTATGGACTCGCTTTTGCTTTGCTTAGGAACCATTAAAATAAAGGTTCTTAAAGGTTCCAATTTAGGTTCTGGTTCCTGTTCCAGTATAGGTACCGGAACCCCTAAATACCTGTTCTATACCGGTATTTTAGAACCGTTTTCAATCCCTGCTTCTAGGATGTTCCAGTTTCAGCATTACCTTAATAGTCTCGTAGATTTTAACTTTCTCTTTAAGTCCAGGATAAGTCGTTATGCCAGAAAGCATGATTTTATTGGTTTCGTGGTCCACTATGCCATCAACTATGTATTTAATGGCCACGTAATCGGGTATCTTTCCTCTTTTCCCTAACGCCTTCATTTATTTATTATTTTATTTTTATTTATTTTTACTTCTGTATATAATGACGACCGTAATGACGGGTTTACTGACGACCTTAATGCAATGACGTACTTAATGCCGGGTGGCATTCTCTACCAGTCAACCATGGGTTGATGCAGAGATGTGCAACAGTAGGTGTAATAGGTATTATCTATAATTTAATTTATATGACACAACATAAATCTATATAAATAAAATCATAATTATGCATAACTGTAAATACATACATATGTATATCCATA